AATAGTAAGCTCGACATGCTAATCGCTCCACCATCTGGTCAATGAAAGGGAGGGGGAAATGGTCCTTTTTCGTGACGGCATTTAGCTTTCGGTAATCGATACACTGTCGCCATCCGGTGGGCTTTCGAATTGGTACGAGCTCACCATCTTGGTTTGATTCCACTGTCACCCCTGCCTTCTTCGGGACCACCTGTATTGGACTTACCCACGGGCTATCTGATATTGCAAATATAATTCCAACGTCCAGCAGTTTTAAAATCTCTTTCTTTACGACCTCCATCATGAGAGGATTTAATCTCCGTTGAGCTTGCCGTACGGGTTTAGCATTCTCCTCGAGTCGAATTCGGTGCATACACACCGCGGGGCTAATTCCCTTGATGTCGGCGATGGTCCATCCTATCGCCTGCTTATGTTCCCTAAGAACTCGAAATAGTTTCTCTTCTTGAACCTTTGATAAACGCGCGGAGATGATCACTGGAAGTGTCTCCCCTTCACCTAAGTATACATACTTTAGGTGTTTCGACAGTGGTTTTAGTTCCAATACAGGTGCCTGCACCACAGATGGAAGTAACCTTTGATGAGGTTCGGGTATGAAAATCGGTGCAAGATCATACCTTGTCTTCGTGGTTGGTAACGTTTACAACGATCCAATCACGCATTTAAGCTCTTCACTCAACTCTACCCTAGAGGTTGTTTCGGACTCAAAGTGCCTGGTCAGGACAACCTCTAGTTCATCCCTGCCTTCAATTTCAAAAACCTCCTGTATAGCAGGGTCAATAACATTTATCGAGAAAACAGAGCCAATATTTGAATCGGATGGATATTTCATGGTCTCAAAGATGTTAAAGTGAACAATCTCACCATCAAATTCCATAGACAAAGTACCCTTATTAACATCAATTTTGGTTCGGACTGTGCTCAAAAAGGGTCTACCTAACAACAAAGGTGACGGATCACGGGAGTGTTCATCCTCCATGTCGAGCACATAAAAATCAGTTGGAAAAATCAATTCATTAATTTTTACCAAAACATCTTCAATCAACCCGTCAGGGTATGCATTGGTCCTGTCAGCTAATTGGATTATTATCCCAATCTCTTTCAAAGGGCCTAAGTTTAATGAAGCATAAATGGACTTTGGCATGACATTAATCGAGGCTCCTAGGTCTAACATGGCCTTTCCAATCAAAGTATTACCTATCCTACAAGGAATAGTAAACATACCTGGATCTCCGCATTTTGGTGGAAGTTTCCTTTGTAGAATTGCTGAAACATTCTCCCCAACTATAACTCGTTCATCCCCCTTCAACCGCTTGCGGTTGGCACACAAGTCCCTCAAAAATTTTGCGTACCTGGGTACTTGTTTAATCGCATCCAGCAGGGGTATGTTGATCTCCACCTTGCGAAAGATCTCCAAGACCTCTTTTTCCTTATCTTGCTTCTTTGGTTTCTCTAACCTGCTAGGAAAGGGAGGTGGATTAGTTTTAGTTGTAGGAATTGGGTTCGAGGTTACCTTTGCATTTTTGTTGTCTGTGCCCTCCTCTTCCAATTCTTTCTCAATCCGTTCCTCGTCCTTATCTTTAGGAATCACGGGTTCGGGTCCTTGAACTTCCTTGCCACTCCTTAAGGTCATTACGCTTACATTCTTTGGATTCGCCTCAGGTTGAGATGGCAACTTTCCTTGAACTTGGGACTCCAAACGGTTGATTGTTATAGCCATTTGATTCATTTGATTTTGCAATGATTGCACCTGTCCCAGTTGATTTCTCATGCTTTGCAGGTCTGAATCCGTCTTTTGTTGATTAGCAAGTAATTGCTTCATCATCTCTTCCATGGACGGACTTGAGTTTGAAGGGGGTGGTGGTGGTGGTAGGCGAGGATGATACTGCTGTTGGTGCCCTTGCTGTCTATTTGGCACAAAGTTAGACTGCCTATTTCCTCCATAGCTAAGGTTGAGGTGATCCCTCCAACCAGGATTGTAGGTGTTTGAGTACGGGTCGTACTGCTTTCTTGGCGCGGGCGCGTGGCCAGCCATGTTCACCTGTTCTGCAGTTTCTTCTTGAACCAGTGGACACATTTCCGTAGGATGACCCACGGCAGTGCACACCCCACACACTTTGACTTGTGAAGCACTCCCCACAGCTAATTGTCTTACGAAAGATGTTAATTCGAAGATCTGCTGTTGGATAGAGGACGTTTCCACCTCATTCACCCTACGCGTCGGGATGTCCTCTCTTGAACCAAACTGCTGTGAGTTCTCAGCCATCCCTTCAATCAACTCCCATGCTCCTCGAGGGGTTTTGTTCACCAACGCCCCTCCACTTGCAGCATCGATTATGCTTCTGTCCCTGAAAAGCAACCCCTCATAGAAATATTGAATGAGCAGTTGCTCACTTATCTGATGTTGAGGGCATTTGGTGCACAGTTTCTTAAACCTCTCCCAGTACTCATAGAGTGACTCGCCTGGGTGTTGTTTGATGCCACATATCTCCTTCCTTAGGCTTGCAGCTCGAGATGCCGGAAAGTACTTGTCCAAGAATTTTTTCTTCAGTTGGTCCCACGTGGTGATACTACCAGGCGGTAGGCCAGTCTTTTGCGGAGTCCTTCAAAGAGAAGGGGAAAGCCCTCATCTTTATTTGCTCTTCTGTAATTTCCGGGGGTTTCATACTGTTGCAAACGACGTCGAACTCTTGCAAGTGCTTGTAGGGCTCCTCACCTGGTAGACCATGAAAAGATGGCAAGAGATGAATTAGACCAGATTTTAGTTCAAAGGAAGTGTCATCATTTAAATGTGGAAAAGTAATGCACAAGGGCTGCTGATTTAAATCAGGAGCAGCCAACTCCCTTAGTGTTCGTGCATTTGCCATAGTGACTTTCTCTTGGTCTGAATCACTTGAATTGTCACCAGACAAATTTGTCGGCTCAACCTCTGGATCAAGTTCCTGAGGTGCAATATCGTATTGCTCCTCCCTGAGCCGCCTGGTTTCTTTCCTCGTTCTACGCGCGGTCTTCTCTACTTCAGGGTCAAAAATTAATTCGCCTGTACGAGAAGAGCGAGGCATAAACTAGAAAAATACCAGAGAAAAAAAATGAACTTAAAAAGAAACAAATGATTAACGCCAGTCCCCGGCAACGGCGCCAAAAATTGACAGGCGTCGAGCCTGTGCAATAATAAATACCTACTCGAGAAAAATGAATTTTCTGTGTATAGTAGTGAGTAGGGTCGAATCCACAGGGACTGGAAAAAATTCGATTCTTTTCAAGTTCGGGACACGGGGGATTTTTATCAGAAATAAACTAAAAATAATTAAACAATTTAACTAAAAATAATTAATTAATTAATACAATTATAAATAGCAATTAAATAAATGATAAATAAATTCTAGCCAAGGATACAACTACGCAGACACAGTCCATTCATCCGATCATTGATGCAAAGGTTCACTTAATTTTATTAACAGGTTAGTTATAGTCGCCGATAAACTCTAACGACCAGCTTTTCCTTAATTTATTAATAACCAAGGTACGACCGTTGATTACCCCTAACCAGGAAATACTCCTAGGTACGACCGTAGGAATTAATTTCCTAATTGCATTAAAAACTAGAAAAGCCTAACCCAAATTAATAACACGCTACGAGGGTTATTTAAATCAGATTGCATGTCCCCCTAGTATGTGAAAATACTAGTTGTCACTAATATTAACCAACTAAACAATTACGGATTTAATTGATTAATTTGACAAGAGATTAATAAGTCAAATTGCACATCGGGCCCTTGATATCCAATAAACAAAATAATCTCATGGAAATTAAAATAGAAAACATGCAAATATTAACAAATTAAGGAACATGTAAAATTAATTAGATCTCACAGATATTTGGGACTGCGTCTTCGCGTTGATCCTTGACTAGATGAGAAAATTAGCCACGCCTCATAAGAAAATCTTCACACAATTCAATTGAATTTAAAGACATCATCTTTCTTCGATAATTGATAGAGTGAATAACAAAGCTCTCGGAAGAGAATAAGAAAATTGCACACTAGAATTCAACAAACCAAAACAACTCCCTATTCTCTCCTCTGGAACATCCCTCGGAGAGAAAACTAAAAACTCCTCTATCCTCCTACGGAGCTTATTTTGAGAGAAAACTCCAAAACTAGTCTAATAGCTTTTTCAGCTCCCTTCTCATTCTCCTCTCCACTAGTTTTATAAGAGAACTAGTTACGTAGGAAGCAAATAGAAAAGCTACTTTCATCATCAAAGTCCACCTATGACTAATGAGTATATCTCCCACAATAAGAACAAACTTTCTACGTGGTCCCCGCTTTGATTTCTTATTGCTAGTGGATTTCATCATATCAATTCAATTCTTCATCAGCAATTCCGTTGGTTTGCACAATTTGGGCTGATGGTGGAAAGCTTTTAGAAGCTTTCACGCGTAGAGAAATCTTCTCAAGAAGGTCCCCTTTTAGCACTTTTCTGCTCCACTTTCTGAAATTATATCCAAATACCAAATATAAATATATATTGACAATTAAAACAATATTTGGCAAGGATAAAGAGGAAAATTAACAATAAAATTACTAACAATTAACTCCCTATCAGAAAAGGTGTTCGAAAGTGTTTGCTCCTACACCGAGGAGGGAAGCTCTCAATTCTAGAGAGATAAGTTTAGTAATTAATTGTCAGCGGAGAGACTTTGAATCTAAGCACTACTTAAGTGTGTTTTTTTTTTCCTCTCTAAAACATTTTTTTGCTTCGCAAACCAGGTTCACAAGAGCAACACAACTCCGCTACTGAAGCACTTTCATAACTGTCCGGAGTTTACTCTTTTTGAAAGCTCAAACTAATTTGACAAAGAAATGAATATCGAATTGCTCACTTAACTCGCAGGTTGCACAATAATGCCGAAACTCATTGGTAAACAAATAATCAGAAGGTTATTGAGGCCACAGAAACAAGCAAACAGCATGCCCGAGTAAAGTCAAATCCAACTGAGATCATTCGAAATCAAAAGCTGCCAAAGATTGCATTATAACATCTTACAACTTGAAAACAATAAGATCCAACTGACATCATTTGAAATTAAAAAGCTGCCAAAGATTGCAGTATAACATCTTACAATTTGAAAACAATGGTAAAACAATTAAAAGTTAAAGAATCCTCTACCACAATTTGGTGAACAGAATCATGTCTTTTCAGTAGTCAGATAATTACAAGTTAGTATTGACTCAAGTCATCATCTGTCAGTTGGGGTGTAGAATCAACTTCTTTGCCACTAGACGGATGCCAGCATTCTGCTGGTAGTCATATGCATCCAAGGAGAAGTATGCATCCACAAAATTCCCAGGTGTAAATAAGGGATCTAGTTCTTCAGTGTCAAATTTACTGAACACAAGCCTTTGTATGGTCGAAGATTCTTTTTGGTATATCTCTGTGGCCCAACGAACCACATCACCATCTGCTATGGTGGGTAAGCTGTAATTTCAAACATATATACATGAATTAGAAGATAAAACTTAAATGATGAGTAATCTGGGGTCCTAATCATCTGAAAGCAAATTTTTTATTGGCCCATTTTGAAAAGAGCAAAAGTTTTTAGATTTGCAGCGTCGCTTAGGCTAGAAGATTATTTATTGCTTTACTTTTACCAATATCTCAGAACATGAATAGTTATGACAAAAAAGTCAAAAGTAGAGGAGGAGAAGGAATATAGCAGAAAACTAAAAAAGAAAATCATTAAAATGAATCGGGTTTGTGCATGATAAGTTTTTTAACTATGAAACAGATGATAATAAAGACAATTTCTCAACCTTTATCTAGCACATTAAGTGACACAATCTGTTGCTAAACCATTGAACATAAACAGAAAATCACAATGTTATGTACGGAAGAAGGGATAGGATAACCAAACAAAAATGCAACTAATGAAATCACTAGAAAATTGAACTTTAACCGTTATGCTATTATATTGTGGTGGAGACTTTGAAAGCGAAAAAGAAATAAAAGCAACTTACTGCAGTCGCACAGTAGGAAAGTTCCAGAAGCCAGCCTTTCTAGTCACAGAAGGCCTCCATTCGGAGCTGCTACCAGAATCCACAGACAGCCTTTGAGCAAGCTTGTCAATTTCATCTAAAATTCTGCATAGGCTTGGTGATGCATTCACCACAAAACTCAACCGGGGGCGACCAGCAGGATCAAAAAATTTCTTACTGATTCCAAAGCGCACTTTCAGTTGCCTACAACAGACATGTAATGCTATACTTTTATGCAATATTTGTATCTTCCGAGTCCCACGGTAGAAGGGGGCAAGAATGACAGACACAGAAGGTATAGAAATTTCATCAGGCTCGAGGAAATCAATCAGACCGCAAGAACCCTCAGATGAAGTTGTTGAAGATTCTTGTAAGGCTGAACCAGATTCTTCTTCTTCCATGCTGTCCTCTACTTGAAGGGGTTCTCTCTCCATTTCATTCCTCAACAAGCCCATGTCAAAGGGGTCTGTCCCATTGGAGTTAGGATCAACTATATCCTGGACATCTATATTTGTGACGGGAGTTACAAGAGATAAGATTGGATGAGCTTCCTCCAGGTGATTTGCAGGAGTTGATCTCAGATGATTTTCAACTTTACTGCTGGATGATGGTTCATTTGAGTCCAAGCCTATCGCTTCAGGAGAGGCCTTCCCATTGCTGCGACTTCTTGTAGTAGCATTTGGAGAAACCCAACTATTCTCTGTGAATATATCAGGAAGGCTGGACTCCTGTGAGTGTGAAAAGAATCAAGCTATTTACTTCACACCAGAGAGAAGGTTGCTTAATCTCAGCGAAGCTAAAGAATAATACAAGGTATAGTTTAACATCCAGGTTATAATATTCAACAGAAAGCAGTAAAGCTCATTATCACTTTAAATGGTCATCCACAAATGAACTTTAACTCATCCTTTGTTAGGGAAGCAATAGCTAAGATAAGCTCATCTAGAAGCATCATAGATACATCCTCTTAGTATTCAAGTCGAACACTCAGGTAAAACTACCCATCAATCTTTTGCAGCATTAATGACACTTTGATTCAACTTTCTTTTGATCCTTCAACGGTTCTAATATTCACTAATCAAAAGCCCATTTTTGCCTCTACTAAAGCATCAGAATTGCTCAAGTCCACCTAACACGGCCACAAAGCAGTTGAGCTTTGTGGAACCCCACTAAGGAATTTCAGAGTCCCTTAGCATAGCTACCACCCACAGGTGAGTGGGTTATTTTCAACTAACTTCTACAGAGTTTAATCTCAACATGAAGCATTGTATACCAATTGCTAATGCTGGTAAAGGTAGGAGGAGACGACATCTATACGGAGTCACTGATTCAAGAATTGGAAGAAATGCAGCTGGGTACACAATTTACCCTCAAGAATAATGTGCGCAATCTGTCATAACTGATTCCAATAATTTTAGAAACCACTAATTAAGAATGGCTACTAGTTATTATTATTTATTATTTAGCATCTTATCACAAAGAGAGGGTACGTCAAATACTTAAAACAAGAAATGACAAAATTTGAATGCTTAAACCCCTGTAAATGCACTGACATCTTAATCTTTTATGAGAAAATATGATAATTTCATGTTAAATGGCATGGTGCCATAGGAACATTTCCACAACTGATTTAACATATCTGCTACTTCCCTCCCCCCCCCCCCGGGCGGCGGTGGGGCGAGCTAAAAGGAAAACTCAAATGGCAGAAAATGAAAACAGCTTGAGCCGCAGGCTGGTAAAGTTTTTATAGATATTTAGCTCTTGAAAAAATCTAATGGACTAAACTTTTAGTAGATTTGCCCAATAGCTATATAGGTCAACACCGCCAACTGAAGAAGTCAATAACCAGCAAAAAATTGAGTAGATGTAACAAGAGATATTCATCAAATAAAATGAAAGCCGGAAAGAGGTGTCATTTTAAACTAGTTAGGTGGAATGTTTAATACTAAGCATACGCACTGACCACTGATCATAGTTATTAAAAATTGCGCTATCAAATCAAATTAAGAAAATTGTATATCAGAGCATGAAAATTGTCATTACCAAGAATAAAACAGTAGCACAATACTTGAGAACCTCAAGATTCATCCGAACATCATCTAAACTCCTGCAACATGACATTTGAAGAGAGATAAGGCTAAAGCAGAATGAATCCTTCAGGCATGATACATGTGACAACACAACAATATAATCTACATGTTTGGATGTTTGTTGATCCGCATAGCTTGCTAAATGTAACAACCGGATGACAAAAGGAAGTCAAACACTAGTCTATCAGCCTTCTATGTCAAGTCACTCGGAAACAAGAACAATTCAGTTTTAACTATTAAACTAATAGCGCTATCATAGAAAACTTCTATAGGATAACATTTAAGGAAAAAGAAGGTACTTGTACAGACTGAGAAATGAGAAAGCAACCATACCTATGTGTTTGCTGACCAATTCCAAAATAGGTCGCAAGAGTGGCCATCTGAACATCAAGCAACTCGTATTAGCATCTAATCATCATGCTAGACAAATGCTCAGAAAATAACAAAATTGTTCAAACTGTGAATGCATACATGTTAAACTGATTCGAGATACTCAAAATGTTAGTTGTAGACGATCAGATCTGACTAGCAAAAATTCAGATTCTTTTGGATGAACTAAAATTCAACCTAGGAAGGTCTTATCTAAGGAACCCATCAACAAGAGTACTGATTTATTAAAGTTATGGCCATTTAATGGTCTACCTATATGCACAAACAAACAATCTATAAGATCAAACCTCAAATTTTATTTTACATGAATGATAATAGTTGATTACTTTCTGTGGTTTGACTTCAAAAATTTCATCAAGTAAACTAAAATTTTATGAGTAGAAATACAGTATTTGGATTGGATCAGCCTTGTTGGATTGTGATTTTTTGGAGAAAAAATTTTACGTTTTCTGTGAATATTCCTTCTATACAATTTCCAATCACCTTTTTACATCACATACACTTCCTAAAAAAGTGCTACATCAATTTTTTCCCAAGCACTTCCCAAAAAATCCAACCAAATGGTATTTGGAAACATTATCTTTTTAGTTGGAAAAGAATCAGTGAGTCGACCAAGTCAAGCATGAGTCCAGAGCAAGAATGAATTAGTAGGGATTGGGTCCTTTGTATTGGATTAACTATAAGGATGAAAATTGAGGGTACAAATTATGTTCTTAAACATGAGTTTTTATTTACTGTAATGATAGAAGAATGGTATTGCATATTAGAAGAATGGCATTGAATGATAGCAATCAGATTTTCCAGGAAAATCTTTTAAATACTTCAAACTTCTCCTTTTTCTTCTATTACTTCCCCCTGGCCTTTGATACAAATATATTCTCTCTCTTCTTTTTTCATCTAGAGCAAAATAAAATGCAACAAAGTTATTTATCTTTTCTTCTGCCCTAAGCAAATCTTATCCTCTGATTTTCTTTCCCACAACCAAACACTAAAACTAAAAAAAAAAGAGGTATTACACATTTATTTTACTGAGGCAATGAATATATTCGTCTACCAAAACTTATAGTTAATCCATATTATATAGGAAAGATGATTTACCAAAAATTGCTTAAGTAATTAATCACTTTGCACTAGTACATCCAATCTGTCCTCTAATGGTTTCTAAACTCATTGACATAATATCTCATTTACCTATAGGAAATTAAATCATACTTTAGGCCCCAAAGAAAAACTTTTAAATGCCACGATAATCAGTATTTATTATCTTTATTGTCCTTCCAATCCCTCGTAAGACTTCAAACTCTCACAAAAAGAAAAAATAAAAAGTGTAGTTCATAAAACAATTTAATGGGGACAAGATAATTGCACCTTCATGTCACCAGCTCTTCTTCCAAATCTTTGTGTTAACAATGCCAGTGAATCAATAGTTCCCTTGGGCTCCGGAGCTGGCCTATTGATCTCGGCGAAAGCTTCTCTAATCCGAGCACAATCAAATCTTAGTATATTGTGCCCTGCCCATATCCTCCCTGTATAGAAAAACAAAACAATTAAAAGTCAGTTCATCATAATCCCAACGATCTCAGAAACACACACAATGATGAACTTTACATTCTCAAGATTTCAAATCAAAATCTTGTCCACTGAAATACTCCCTATGATCACAAAACATCGAGCTAAAATATCCACAAATGACCCCAAAATACCACAATTAGTGAAAGAGGCACGTATAAACGCTTGATTGCTAGAAAGCGCACAGTTTTGGGGGCTGCTTATTATGAGGGCATTTTGACCCACTTTTGTACCAAATGTATACTTTTCTCGGTATTTTTAGCACTGCATTTTGTACAAAAATACATTTTTTCCCTGTATAAATGAAATTCTTCACCAGCTCAATTCACAGAAATCATAGAAGACCCCACAAAAATCCAGCATTTCAAGTCTCAAACTTTGCTCCTTCATCAACAACACCAAAGAAACTATATTGGTACAATAAAAATAGCAAACCACAAAAACTAAATGCTAACAAACAAGAATCCTAATTTACAAGAAGAGCACTTAACTTTCCAAATACATGTCTAAATTTCTATAGACAAAGCGAGAAAAGTAAGATAGGGGGCCAACCATGGAGAATGCCGTAGACTTTATCAGCTATTTCAGCAAAAGTTGGAGCCGAAATCACGGCATCTCTAGTAATCCCATTACACCGAACAGAAAGATTAGAAATGAGGGACAAATCAGAGGGTTTAACAAGAGTCGAGTAACTCTCCAGCTCAATTAGCTTTTTGGGGCAAACCAAAATCGCCCCAAATTCCAAAATCGCAAACCCTTGACCCTGCCGAGTTGGAACGCTGGTTTCCACATCGAAGAACGCAATTTCCGACTTATCCACGGCTGGAACCATTGCTAAATTCATTTCAATTATGCTAATAATTTCGCTAATCACTTGCTAATTTGGGACTAATCTGGGTTGGTTTTGGGATGGAAATTGAAAAGGGTTTTGAGAGAAATGAAGAAAGGGATTCTGTAGGCATTTATATTCTGGGTTGGGGGGAAATTTTGGGTTAGCTTGTGGGAGAAGGAGGTGGGCTGTGATTCTATGCTTTGCAGAGTTGCAGACGCAAAAGAAAAGCGTGGATATGAGGAACACGTAAGGTGAAAGCGATGCTTTCCTCGTTTATAAGGCATATCGGATTGCTTTGGTTTCTGGTCCTGCCAATCCGAAGTTTAGGACATTTTCTTTTGTTAATTTGAGAATGAAACATTTATTTATTTATTTTGTTGGAGAAATTTTTTCTTAAAGTTATGATAAAAAAAATTTAGGTTTTTAATTTGAGAAAAAATGTTAAATAAAAAGTATTGCTACAGGTGTTAACCATTAAAGTTACGTTATAGTTACATGGTAGTATTAGGGATATACGCGAACCGAACTACTCGCGAGCTAGCTCGGTCAATGGCTTGGCTTGAACTCGGTTTGACCGGCTCATGCTACTCAGTTGGTTTTCGAGTCGAGTTTCGAGTCAGTAATTTGAGGCTTGAGGCTTGTCGAACTACTCATCGAGTCGAAGTGTATTTAAATAATATATATAATTTAAATAATATATATGTATTATAATTATAAAATGACAATTATGGGTATAATTTATACTGAATTTACAATATACTCTTCTTTATAATAAAATTTCATAATGGCAAAAAAGTAATAACATAATTGTAAAAAGACCTAAAAAGAAAAAAATGTCTAGAAAAAGGGAAGAAAATAAGGTTCAGAAGCTTTTTCGAGTCAAGTCAAAAAGCTTGATTAGACTCAACTTGATAAGCCTTGACTAAAAGTCGAGTCTTATCGAGTCGAGTCTCGAGTTTAAAGGGAATTTTTCGAGTCGAGTCTCGAGTTACGATTTTTTGACTCGAGCTCGAGTCTAGATACATATGAGTCGAGTCAAACTCGAATATAGCAATATTCGAGCTCGATTTGACTCGATTACATCCCTAGGTAGTATTAGGCAAAAGCAATGAAATATAAGTTTTTACTTTTAATTTTCATATTTTTTCAGTAGAAGCTAATTTGCCCATTGTGGTAAGAAAAGTGATTTTTGTAGACAACTTTAGGTATTTTGTTTCAATTGATACCCACATGGCTATCATAATTAGCAATTGACCAATTTTTTTCTGTTTCTTTTGTAAATCTGATTTTCAGTAATAATAGTAATGAACGTAAAAGATAAAAGATAAAAAGAAATTCCAAAATAACAAAGAATAGTCTCATTTTGCATTATAAGTATAGACGAGTTAATGAAATCGAACGCTAAATTCAAAGTACGAAATAAATTTTGATTAGCAGTCAATTAACCATAGTTAGTCAAATTATGTTCGAATTGCAGTTTTCTAAGAAAAGATTATTAGGTTTTATATAAACATATTTTTTAAATACATTTTTATCTCACATAAAATAAATTATTACAGTGCATTTTTTTATTAAAAAAAAACTCTAGAAAATAACAGTCCAGATGGGACCTTAATTTATCCCAGGCAATCACCATTGAACTTTTGCAACCATCAAGAAAGCATGTCACAACCAATGAAAGGTTATTTCTATTACTGCATATCCATACATCCCCTCGAACTTTAATCAAGTCATCATTTTCCCCACTCCATAGCTTTTCAAACATCCTTCGGGAGAGGGAAAGTATAGGTGCTATCAAATTTGTTTTAATTTTCTTTCGCATTGTTTTGTGTTTTGAATCCTATTGGCCACTTTTGTTTGCTGTTGACCTTAGGGTTGGCACGAAAAGAGTTTAAACATCTCTTTCTATGTATTATGCACGTTCAGCTTATTAGAAACTCTAGTGTAAATGAGAAGTAAACACTTACAAGAAGCAAGAAATTAAGTGTACAACAATGTCAATATCTTTCAGGCAAAACTACAGCAATAGACAATTTCATTATCCACGAGATTGTCGCAAAGCACGGGTACACTTGGGAATATTAATTGATAGGGTCTCACTCAAATCCAATAAAACCAGTCATGTATTTTCATGGTTTTGGTCCAAATTTTAAAACCCAGACCCTTTATTCGATGGGTCTTACCTGAATATCAGTTTTGCTGGCATCTTTTAAAAACTTAGAAATCACTCTTATAGAAATAATTCAGGGAGAAATATATCTCTTAGATACTCCATTCCTCACGCACCTGGGGTCTAGAAACAACAGGTTTATAATTGTCAATATCCATGCATTAATCATTAAAATTCTAGTGTATGTAAGTCAAATGAAAATCAAAGAGTATTTGTATCTGGCTACCAGATGAAATGCAGGTTATACATAGTATTCCAGAATAATATATATATATATATATGTATATATATATAAAGAAACTAATGATCTTAATTTCCCAGAGCAACTAAAACAAAAGGTTAAAAGTAATAAGAAAAGGTTAAGGTTTAACAGTGAAGGGTAGTCTTTTGTTAGAGGAAAAGTTATATCAAAGTATATCAACATTGGATTCCTAATAAAGTTTAGTTGCAAGTTTGAATACAAGCTTATACACGTGACCTAGTAGGCTGCTTACATATTCAGAGCATGGAGCCTTGGCAACTTACTTAGCAATCAGTATATGAACGTCTTGGCAGGTTTAAGGAGACTATGCACCTTCGGAATAGGGACAGTTGCAGCCAGTTGTTCCTAAAAGTTCAAAATCCTTGCAGTTAGACACCTATATTCTCCACTGATTCCATAGTTGTTTTGTCAAAGCTTTGCTGCTATGAGGGTGCTGAAGGTGACACTTAAGTTCTCTTCCAAAGTTTTGATGCAAAATTAGGTGATGGAGACACAACTTCCTAGCACCCAATAGGGAATTCACGGTCACCCTAAAATGCAAAAACTTCTGAAAAATTGTGTTGATGATTGGCAAGGTGAGACAAAGATGCAACTCAAAATTCAGAGCTCATTGTGTAAATGCAGTCCAAGCCAACGTCAGTTATTGATTGTCCTGATTCTGATAATGTCCAGGAGAGAGTTCTGTAGTGCTCGTCTAGTAACCATGCAAGTTCATTTCTTTCCTTATCAAACCAAGCATATCATAGATCAAATGTGAATGCTTGTGCGTTCTGTCATTGACCACAAAATCATGAAGGACTCCATTTATCTGAACCCAACTTCGACCTGAAGGCTTTCTCACTCCCATCTCTACTATCTTCTGTTTTACAGTATGTGCTTCCTGCCACCTTCTAGCGGTAGAATATACATCTGACAAGAGCATGCAATACCCTGCAGCTCTGTCAGGTTCAAGCTCCATATCCAACATTTTATCCACATGAGAAGCAAGTTCCACATTTTTATAAATCCTACAGCCACCAAGAAGAGCACCCCAGACTACATCATTTGGTTTCATAGGCATAGTCCTAACAAGCTCAACTGCTTCATCTAATAATCCAGCTCGACTCAAGATATCAACCATGCACCCGTAATGTTCAACCCTTGGTTCAACACCCCATGTTTGACTCATACTGCAGAAATAACGCCATCCCTGGTCAACATGACCAGTGTGGCTGCAAGCAGACAACACACCCAAGAATGTCATTTCATCAGGTTTAACATTGCTTTCTCTCAACCTATCCATTTCGTGGAATAATTTAAGAGCCTCTTTTGCATACCCCTGTTTTGCAAAGCCTGTGATCATACTAGTCCAAGAAACTGTTGTTTTCTGTGGCATCTCTTTGAATACTCTATAAGCTTCATTCGTTACACCACAGCTAGCATACATATGAATCAACGCATTGTTCAATGAGAGCAGCTTTGGCTGTTTTCCATCGCTCAGAATCTCAAAGCTATACCGATGAATCCATCTCCCCAAATTTAAATCACCCAATTCAGCACATGCTGAGAGCAGCACCACCAAGGTAACCTGATCAGGTTCCACTTGGGCACTGCGCATCTGATGAAACAGAGCCAATGCTTGCCTACACCTCCCATTTCCCAAACATCCATCAATCATGGTCGTCCAAGAAACCACATTTCTCTCCGGCATCTCATCAAATATTCGACGTGCCCCATCAACATCCCCGCACCTAAAAAACCCCAAAAGCAATGAATTCCAAGTCACAATGCTTCTCTCACCCATTTCATCAAACACATACCGCGCATTACTAACGCCATCCACGCCTCCACAAGAAGAGTACAAATTCAACAAATTAGTCTGAACAAACACATTTGAGCAGAACCCATGTTTCAAAACCTTCCCATGAACCATTTGACCTTCACTCAACAAGCCCCCTTTTGTACAACCATTAATAACATAAGAATACGAATACCCATCAGGCAAAGCTTCTGATTTCCCCATTAGATTGAACAACTCCACCGATTTACACGGTTTTTCGCTTCGGCCATGGCCTCTGATAATTTGGTTCCAAACATTGGTGCTGGGACTTTGGACTTGTTCAAAAACTTGGGATGCACTTTTGAGATTACCAGAGGTGATGTAGAAGGATAATAGGTTGACAAGAATGAAGTTTGTCTGAGAAAAGCCATTGATGATAACTTGAGTGTGGATTTGGTATAGGTGTTTGATGGTTTTACAATTTTGCAATAGTGAAAAGAGGTGTTGTTGGAGGGCTCTGGTATTGATTTGTACCGCGGGAAGGGATTTTTCAACTAACATTCAAATGGTTTGTTGGAACTTGAGGAGAGAGTACGGACACTGGACAACTTTGTTTTGTTTCCCTTTTATTTTAGGGAAATTATTGATAAGTAAGACATTTATCTGTTTATTAATGACAAAAGGCATAAATTGCAAAAGTGTTACACCATCCTTATAAACTTTGTATTGACGCTCTTCATTTTTTTTTTTTTTTTTTGCTTAAAAAAAACTCTCCATTTTTAAAATTTTCCATATACTTTTGGGATATAAAATAGTTTTTTTTGGAAGAAAAGTTTTACTCCAATTAAGAGGAGAGAGGGCCAATGCAATTGGGACCTGGTACGATTCGATTTGATTATTGTATTTTTTATGTTATTTGGTATACAATTACATTCAACAGCCTCTTGGACTGTTGGTCACTATCAAGACTTTAATGTGGATGGGAGGTTAAGGGATTCGATTTGATTGTTGTATTTTTTATATTATCTGGTGTACAATTACCTTCAACAGCCTCTTGGGCTGTTTGGTCACCACCAAGATTTTAATATGATACTTAATTGTATCTGTCACTTCAAGTGGCTTCCTCCGACGGGGTTCCCCTCGACTCCCTCTCCCCGTAGACTAGGTTAGAGTAGATTATACAAATTTTATGTTGTGACAAAAAAAAAGTATACAATTACCTTACATTATTGTATTCGAAATAAAATTAGTGTACATAAATAAAGTATTTAATATATATTTAATATAATATTATATTGTATTTGTAATACTAAAAATTTAAACATATACAAGAATTGGATGAAACTGCACAAAATACAATTGTACTGGTTACTTGTCCAATTAAGAGGGCAGCTTCTTGTCTTCAACTCCATTGCGTAACAAAAATCTATACAAAATAAATTGATATTCCATTATGTAACAAAATGTACTTTTGTAGGCGAATCTAGATCAATTTATTGTCTAATGTTGAATTTGAGAATTCTTTACAATGGGAAACTTTGTCTTTTTCCTTTGCCATCAACAAATTAAAAATAAAAACTTGCAACTCTAACGGATGATTCTATATATGAAATTGATAGAGAATGGGCATGCAATGTTACTTTATAAAATTAATATGTGAGTTGTAATTAATTGCACGTTCCTATATAGGGTTTTCTAATGTATTATGAAGCAACCTATTAATAAAATGAATTTACTGTAAAAACTACAAGTAAATTGATATGATCCTAATTTAGAAAGTGTGGCGCCATTTTGCTTCATCATTAGCCAATTCATAGGTTAATTAGGTATTTAGTTGTACCAAATGTGTACTTCAATTGGTCAATCAAATCGTTAAATCACAGTATTCTAATTATTTTAAGAGTAAATCTTATATACATATATACTATTACCGTTGGATTCATAATATATATGCAAAAGTTAAATTTTAAATTTAAATTTTGCATAATTATCATTCATCCAAATAGTTTAAACTGTGTTAGAAAAGATTAATCCTTATTTTAATCTCTTCCAACATGTTTATAAAATATTTTATCTAATTCATACAAGAATCATATGTACATAGATTGACTACAACTCTTATGACAAAATTATTCGAGAATGATTTAAAATGTTAGACAAAAGGAGAATTAAATTCCTCTTCTTCTTTTTTTCTCTCAAATTCTAAAATCTTATGGATTGACGTTAAAATTGCCGCGAGACTCAACTGTCCGATTTCCCGGGACTTTTCTTCATTCAAAAGAAAAAAAAAATCGTTAAACCCAAAATGCAAATTCTTTAACCAATTCATGGCAAAATCTTCCAATTCCTCACATCCTCTAAGAAATGTTGAAGCTTTTTATCCCACAAAAAAGAATCAACCCACCAGGATTTTCAACGTTTTCATCTGTCTCTCATTCCTCTTCTTCTTCATTTATTACGAATCTGATCACCTCAATTGTCAACTCCAGAACCCCAAGCCAAGCTCTTCGAATATTCAACTCAGCATCGAATAAACTGGACGCTTCGAAGAATTTCAAAGTACATTCAGCCCTCATTTGTTTTTTGACCAATTCGAAAAAGTATATAGATGCCAGGTGTTTGATAAAAGGCCTGATTGAACATTTAGGAAAATCCCGAAAGCCACACAGGGCTTGTTCTGCAGTTTTTAATGGATTTAGTCAGTTAGAGAGTGTAATATCTAGTCCTAAGGTGTATGGTGTGTTGATTCTTGCGTTGTGTGAATTGGGGCATGTCCATGAGGCCTATTGGGTGTACCGGAAGATCAGGAGTTTGCCTGCGATACAGGCTTGTAATGCACTTTTGGATGGGTTTTGTAAGAAGGAACAATTTGAATTGATGTGGGATGTTTACAAGGATATGGTCTCACATGGTGGTGTGCCGAGTGTGGTCACTTATGGTGTGCTAATTGATGCTGCTTGTAGTCAAGGTGATCTTGCTAAGGCGAAAATGCTAATGGATGAGATGGTTGGCAAGGGGATTGTACCCACTGTTGTGATTTACACAACGCTAATACGTGGTTTGTGTAGTGAGAGTGAGATGGTGGAAGCAGAAAGCGTGTTTAAGAGAATGAGGGAGATTGGTGTGCTTCCTAATTTGTACACCTATAATACTCTCATGGATGGGTATGGTAAGGAGGCAAGTGTAGAAAAGGTCCTTTGGTTTTATCAAGAAATGTTGGATCAGAATCTGCTTCCAAATGTGATCACATTTTGCATCATCATTGATGTGCTTTACAGGGTAGGACAGTTACAAACAGCAAGGAACTATTTTGTCTGCATGGTGAAGTTTGGTGTGGTTCCCAATGTTTTCATATATAATTGCCTGATTGACGGCAATTATAGAGTGTGCAACCTATCTGCTGCACTAGACTATTATTATGAGATGGAAAAATTTGGTATTTCCCCTGATGTTTATACATATGGTATACTTATGAAGTGCTACTGTAGTATGCATAGAATGGAAGAAGCAGATGGGTTATTAAAGATAATGAAGCACAGAGGGGTCCATGCTAATTCCGTGGTTTATGGTACTCTAGTAGATGGGTACTGTAAGGAAGGGAATTTGGGGAAGGCTTTGGAAGTCTGCTCTCAAATGACAGAAACGGGAGTAGAGCCTAGCCTTATTACCTTCTCTACCTTGATAGATGGTTACTGCAAAATAGGGAATATGGAGGCTGCCATGGGGTTGTATAATGAGATGGTGATCAAAGGCTTTGTTCCTGATGTTGTCACGTATACGTCCTTGATTGATGGGCATTTCAAAGATGCAAATTCAAAAGCAGCTCTTCGGCTATACAAGGATATGACTGAAGCTGGTATATGTCCTAATGTTTTTACTCTTAGCTGCCTAATTAGAGGACTGTGCGATGACGGAAAGCTCAAGGATGCAATGAAACTTTTCTTGGACAGAAAAAGGGCTGGATCTTCTGGCGCTAAAGCAAATCACATAGATACTGAATGTTGCTCCCCTAACACTGTTATGTATTCTGCTCTAGTTCATGGTTTATGCAAAGAGGGATACTTGTTCAAAGCTAGCAAGTTTTTCTCAGATATGCGGCGAGAGGGTCTAAAACCAGACATTGTTACTTACTCTACCATCCTCCAACGGCATTTTGGAGATGGGCATGTGCTTGAAGCAATGATGCTCCATGCTGATATGACGAAGATGGGCACTATACCAAATGCTACCATGTATAAGCTCTTAAATAAGGGTTATCAAGAAATTGGATGTCAAAGTTCAGCTCTCAAATGTCACGAAGATTTAGAAAATTTAAGTCTTGTCAATCCTTATATAGACTCTTTGAAGAAAGATAATATGCTGAGGCAGTCCATCAATGTGTGATTAACAGATCTTAGCAAGAGGCTTGTCAATTGTCATGGTCCAAAAGCAATCCATGATTAACTGGAGATTCGATTAAACCATTGTGATGGTCACTTGAAGTAACATAAATCCGTGTTTACCCTTGTTAGGGGATGTCAAATCATCGGGTAAGGTTTCCATGACAAGAAAGAGCAGACCAGTGTGATGCTTCCTGTCCTCTGTGGCTTAATGCAGTATTTTGAAAGTTTGCAATTCAATAGCATATACATGATCGACAACAAAGATGAACATGGCGTGATTATTGTTTTGCAACGAGAGAATAGGAAAAGGAGGAGCTCCTTTTGCCGGTAGTCGAGATAAGTGATGATATTGGCTAGATCAGCTGGATACAGGAAAGTGATTACTTTATCCTTACTGTTCGTGTGAGTTTCAGTCTGGACTGGACAAACTGGCGCTGCTAACATAATTCACTGTGTAGAGAAGTGGTTCAAGCTTTTTGACTAAAGGAAACTTGTTCAGAGATCTATCAAGAATAAACAAGAGTTCGTCACTCGTGTATATTCGGACCATAAACTTTTGTCTGTGTCTAGAAAGATAGAGGAATTAGTCATTTGTAACCAGCAGTCCGTCTTTTCAGTAGTAGAATATATAATATAAGGGCAACATTCCTGCTTGTTATCCTACTGATGGATCAAAGTGCTTAAATTCAAAAACATGTTTGACACATTATAATTTACTGAAGAGCTATTTCAGTTCATATTGGTGCTATTACCGGTGGTTTACCAATTTACGGTTTCCATTTCTATGCTAGAAACCCTACCTCAGCCAGTAATCGCCACGTACTATACATACATGATCAGATGTTAAGATTCTTGAACCCTTTTATAGAGAAAAGGGTAGCCAAATCATTTGCGAGTATAAGCCATGTCGAACTTCAAAATAATCTCAGCTCAAAAAGACCCAATAACGCCCTTCAAAGTTACCTTAAGTCCAATCCCTCCAGGACTTTCTTGCTATTTTCTGACTTGCTCAGGAGAAATACCTCCCTGCTTGATAGCTACTCTCTTCTGTATGCAATCAAAGCTTGCACCAAAAAAGCCGGAGCCATTGAAGGAAAACAAGTTCATACTCTTGTACTGAAACTAGGCTACGAACCCATCATTTTCCTGCAAACATCTCTCGTAAACATGTATTCTGCAGCTGGAAATCTTGCTGATGCGCGTCGGATGTTTGAAGAAATGCCAACTAGAAACGTAATTTGTTGGACTTCATTGGTTTCTGCTTATGTTGATAACCAGGAAGCAAATGCAGCTTTAGAGATGTTCAGGCGGATGCAAAAGGAAAATGTGAAGCCTGATCATGTTACACTGACGGTTGCTTTATCGGCTTGTGCTGATCTTGGGGCATTGGAGATGGGAGAGTGGATTCATGGTTACATCACTCAAAAAAGCGAGTTAAATGCAGATTTATACCTGAAAAATGCCCTCATTAACATGTATGTAAAATGTGGGGATATTGGAAGAGCCAAGGAATTGTTTGATAACCTGAAAAGAAAGGATGTTACATCTTGGACATCCATGATTGTGGGATATGCAGTACACGGCCAAGCAGAGGACGCGTTAAGGCTTTACGCGGCCATGGAAAAAGAAAGCAAAAGTATGACCAATAAAAAGTGCAGTCATAAAGCTCATTTGATTATCCCTAACGATGTTACTTTCGTAGGAGTCTTAATGGCTTGTAGCCATGCAGGCATGTTAGAAGAGGGGAAAAAGTACTTCAGAATTATGACTGAGGAGTTTGGTTTGAAGCCTAGACTTCCTCATTATGGCTGCATGGTTGATCTCTTTTGTCGAAAAGGGATGCTAAAAGATGCTAACGAGTTTATCTTGGCAATGCTAGTTGAACCAAACGCGATCATATGGAGGACATTGCTAGGTGCATGTACCATTCATGGCAATCTAGACCTTGCTGCAGAAGCTTACAATAAGCTGCTTCAACTGGAGGAAAGCGTTGTTGGCGACGATGTTCTTATGTCCAATATATATGCTGCAAAAGAAATGTGGAATGAAAAGTTGAAGGTCAGAGATGAAATAAAGCAGAGGAGGACCCCTGGCCACAGCACAATTGAGGTGGGAAGTTGCATTTATGAGTTCGTTAGCGCTGATGATCATCATCCTTTGGCAAGTGATATTTACAGTGTTCTTGATCATTTGATTGGAAACATGAGAACTTACAGCTACGCTTCCCAGTTTTCTACTTTGACTGAATACTTGATGTAAAGGAAAACTATTAACTCGCTTGATTATAGGATGCGGTTGAAAAGGTCTTCCTTGGCATGTTCTTGTTGCGTAAATAAGCAATCCCAAGGAGAAACTTGTAATTGGGGAAAAGGATTGCTTGAATATTCTATTTGGCAAGACTACAAAATTTTAATAACTTCAAGAATAAAGTTGAGGAGTTGCGTAATGTGAAGTTCTCAAGTTGCTTGACTTCGAAGGACTGGACACCCAGACCTACAAGGCAAGCAAACTGCGAGCACAGTTTAACACGACTTGTTTATCTGTACTTTCCAGTACAAGCAACATTGTTGTTAGTATTTCCTTCTAATTTTGGCCTTCTCCCTTGTAATTATTTTGATCCATTTTTATGCAAGTTTTGTTTCCAACTCTTTTTTGCGAACCATCTACTCTACAAATGACTCATACTTTGGTGGATTCTCGTGGATTATCAACCCTGTTATCTGATGCCTCGTTCGAACTGAATTTGGAAATAAGGAGGTCTCACATTGGGTTGATCTTACAACTGATTTGCCTGCAAATATCCAGTATACCATAAAAGGGTTTGCTATTTACATTTGAATACATGGTAAACTCTTGGGCATTCACTACTTGAGCAGCATGAAAATCATAATTCAATACTGAATTCCATCCCTCCCCTCTCCCGCTGATTTAAAAAAGAAAAGGTCAATTCTGGAATCCATCAATTCAAGACATATCTAATGAGGAATCAAATGGCACATACATGGAGTACTTGTCGTGTTAGGATACATGTTTAATTCTGATCATTTTCCACCCCACCCCCAATGGTTTGAGAAAATTACCCCCGTGCACGCGCACACACACATATATATACATATATATATATATATTGCACAGTGTCACCTCTATGGAGTTGAATTAAACTCCAGTTGACAAGACGTTTTGCTAGAATTCTAAATAAACTATAGTTGATAAAACGTTTCATTATAACTCTAAATAAATAACTAATAAAACCAATCATTTGTGTTTTCATACTATTCAATGGAACATTGCACGATAAATATAAAATAGACATTCATGTAACTGAAAAAATCAAAGTAGACTAAGGTCCCGTTTAGGGGTGTTTTTGTTTAAAAAATATTTTTGAAGGATAAAAGTTCGTTTACTGTGTTTGGTGAGTATCATTCCTTCAATTTAGAAGTAGAGCTTTTAGCCATTAAAACACTTTTGATATAAGCTCAAAATTGGTACTTTTAATGTAACTTTTGTTTGTTAAATTAGTTTTAACAATTTTATTTACAAATTTTGAACTAAATGAAGAAATAAATATCTTTTAAAAATTCAAAATTGCACATTCTCAAATAAAAAGAATATTTATGCAAGTATGCACTCAAACAATATGATTAAGCACTCTTATAAGTATTTTGATCAAAAAGTCTACTGATTGAAATGGTTTTTGATAAGCCACCCCACCCAATGATGGACTAAACTTTGTTCTAATCCAAACAATACTTGAAGTTCATGTCACTAAATCAAGAGTTAAAAACTACAAAGACAAAAGGAGGTATTAGTCTATTACCTCAATATTCATTATCAATATCTCCTTCCACTCCTCCTCTGGGCCCGGCGGTCGCTTTCCGAAGAAGTCGCTCTCCAGTCTTTGCTTAGTTTTTCACGTCTTTTCACTCTTTCCTTAATTCCCAGCCTCTATATGAATTATGATTTCACTACCGATTCATTTTCTTGATTCTTGAAGCCAGTTTAAAACTTACCACCAAAAAATAAACAAAACAATTCCTGCATTCATCAGAGGAAGTGGACTGTATAGATTCTGCAGTATGGCGTTGGGCCATGATGAAACTTGGCCTTCTTCTTCTCATGGGCAAGCTTGCTTGTCATCTGGCCATGCTAGGAGCAGGAGTAGGAGGAAGAAAGACACAGGATTAATGATTGCTTCCTGTTATTTAGTGAGGTTGATGGCTACAGCAATCTTCACTGCTCTCACCATACTCTTTGCAGTTGGTAATTACTTCTACTAATTTGAGTATTAATTCCTTTGGTTTCCCTTTTCTTTTAATTTCTATAAGCCAATGTTGCTGTTTTTCAATTACTCTGCTGAAAAAATAGAACGATTTGTACACGAAAAAAATAATTTATAGGCATATTTTAATTGGATTTTCCTTGGAGATTCATTAGTATACATAATTTACAGCAAACTTAATATGTAAATGCACATATTCGCATGTATTGCCTCCTTGCTAGCAGGCACTGAACTGATTTAGCTTCGAACTAATACCTGAAACCCACGTGAACGAGCACCATTAGATAAGCCCATTTTAATTTGGAGAGACAAGGTTTAAAGAAGAACTTTAAAAGATGAACTATGTTACTCGATACTAGCTATCAGGCTTGTTAAGAGCTAAAACGAGATTGGTTCGCCAGCTAACTAATTCAAAGGCCAAGTTAAGAGTAAATGTTGTTGAGTTTCAAGTTTGGCTCAAGCTTGGCTTCATAAGTAATACAGTATGTAAGTTAAGCCACTTGAGGTCTTTTTGAGCTTGGCTTGATAAGCTTGTCTGATTTCAGCTCGAGTAGTATGTTGGCCAATGCTCAAGCACAAATTTAAACTAGCGGCCTGTTTGAGCTTGGCTTGATAAGTTTGTTTGAGTTTGAGCCGAGTAATATTCAAAACCATGCTCAAACACAAATTTAGGCTATAGCTACAAAGATCAAAGGCAAGCTTGAGCAGCATGGTGTTCATCTTTATTAGTCTCGTTTTGCACCCCCTTAAGAGAGAGCTTTGCAAGTTCTCTGGCTGGGCAGACATTTGGAATTGGTCTGAGTGAACCTGCTATAGCTCCTTTATACTGTTACTGCCTCATTTCTCAACTTGACTCAATATATTTTACTTGCCTTCCAGGTTGATGTTGTGCTCACCTAGATTGTAATTAAGATGTCAGTGACAAGAAAATTTTATCTTACATGAATTTACTGACATTTATGTATGAGAAGCACCCTAATGTTGCATTGCAAAGCGTTATTCATGTGAGCTGACATTCTCTTAAAAATTGTCATTGTTGTGTAAATGGTACATCACTGCATCCCTTGCCATGATGGCATACAGATTTCTACTCTTTGTGTATGTTTTAGTCACCATGTTTGACATTGGGGACAAGGCAATGCGCCAAACATTGTGTCAAGGGCTGTTAGTTGTGTAATTTCTGCCTTTAACAAAAACTGTATTCATTGTCAAATTGTAGCTGGGGCGTTTACTGGAGGTGTCGCTGGGGGAATTGCTGGTTGGGTTTCAAATACTGGTATACTTCGTGGCGTTGCTATGGTTGCCATAGCTGGGGCTACTATCTCTGTGCAGTTCTTGGATGCTCTTCGTACTTATTGGTGTTCAGAGTGCCCTGGTTCAAGTA